TGCATCTGGCCACCGCCAGGAGCAGCAGTAGTAGTAGTAGCAGTAGATGCAGCAGTAGCAGCAGAAATAGTAGTAGCAGCACGAGCAGGGCAGTGTGGCTCAGTAGAGCAGGGCTGCACAGCCCGGCAGCACGACACGGCTCGGCTGGGCGGCTCGGCGCCGCTGAGCGGCTCGGCTCAGCTGGGCGGCGCGGCTCGGCTGGCAGGCAGGCGCGGCAGGCTGGCCGGCGCGGCAGCGCGCTAGTGAGGCAAGCGCGCGGGAAGCGCGGGTAGGGCAAGTGCTCACCAGTGGCGGGAAGGGCAGTCGCTTGCCGGGTGAGCAGGGTAGGCGCACGACGGCGGCGACGGCGGGGCCGCGACAGGTGCAGGGCGGGGCCGCGACAGCGGCAGGGGGCTCCGCGGCAGCTGCTGCAGGGCGGGGCCGCGACTGCTGCAGGCGGCTCCGCGGCAGCTGCAGCAGGGCGGGGCCGCGACGGCAGCAGGGGGCTCCGCGGCAGTTGCTGCAGGGCGGGGCCGCGACTGCTGCAGGCGGCTCCGCGGCAGCTGCTGTAGGGCGGGACCGCGATGGCGGCAGGGGGCTCCGCGGCAGCTGCTGCAGGGCGGGGCCGCGACTGCTGCAGGGGGCTCCGCGGCAGCTGCTGCAGGGGGCACCGCGACGAGCAGGGGCGACGCCCCGAGGGCGCCGGGACGAGCAGGGACGGCGCCCAGGGGGCACCGCGATGAGCAGGGGCGACGCCCCGGGGGCGCCGCGACGAGCAGGGACGGCGCCCAGGGGGCGCCGCGACGAGCAGGGACGGCGCCCAGGGGGCGCCGCGACACGCGCGGCTCGGCAGGGCGGTGCGCGGGCTGCAGAGGCAGCGCCCACGGGCTGCAGGGGCGACACGCGGCTGCAGGGGCAGCACGGTCGCAGAAGCAGCACGCGGGCTGCAAGGGCAGCGTGGCTGCAGGGGCAGCTAAAAAAAAAAAAAATCCAGTTAGGGCAGGGCGGAACGTTCAATGGGCCCTAGGAACGATTCTGCTCTGATACAATGCGAGAATCAGGGCTAACTTTAGTAAAATGACCCGTCTTATGTCAAGACCGGGTCCTGGCTCCTTGTCTGATTGTCAGACCAAAGCTGTAACATTGTCTAGCTTTTCAGACGAATCCTAAATACTTGTCTGAGATTTCTGAGAACATATACTAGCAATCAATATACTTATTAAATAATAGGGAGGTTAGGAACCAGCCCTAGCGGTCCAGCCAGTAGAATGTGAATTGTGAAGACTAAGGTTGTTGGTTCGAATTTTGTCTCCTGCCTCTGCCAGGCAGGTGCATACATCCTTCGAGAGTTTTGCCTTCAGATGAAAAAGACTCGATATCTGCAGTCTCAGACGAACTGTATAAGGCTGTATGAGAAATCAGATGAATAGAAAAAGCTTCTCTTAAAAATCAGACGAAATTAAACAGCATGTATACGACATCAGATGAACCAGTAAAAATGTGTTCAGAATCCAGAAATTCAGACCAAAAATGTCTGATAAAGTAAGCCCTGGTGAGAATAATAACGAGGAATGAATGAACTAGCAAGCATGTGGGTACAAGTATGAAAACCTAAAAGAGTTGTACCCCATATTGTCTACCCCACTACAGCCTACAATATAGTTCTGACAGTTATATGTACCCCAACTGATTCTAATGACAACACTCTTTCCCATTCTGAGACTAGTCCCCATTGTTTTCGTAGCATGATTAGACCCCCGGGTCGTTTAGCTAGGTAAAAACAGTAAGGGGCAACCTTCGGGAAGTACATACGTGTCACGGGTCGCCTCTGATTGCCCCGATCAGAGACGGTCACTAACTTCTAGGAAGCTAGGGCGGCGATTTCAGGCAATCGGGGGCAATTACTTGATTGAGATCAGTTGATCGCCCCAACTTGATCAACCGCCTAAACAACCCAATTTAACACAATTCCACACAATCACCGACAACTTGTTGATTGCATTCGTTTGGGGTACCAAGCGACGCCAGCGAGAAGTTACAATGTTATGATGGGTTTCGTGAAGCCCTCGCTCAAATTACCACCTCGCCAAAATGGGCGCAAAAGGGGGTGATGCCCTGTTCCTGGGCCCTCGCCAAAGTGGGCGTGAAAGTGACAGTAAAGGGTGGCACGATTGTCATGCACCGTCGTAGAATATTCTTGGAATATCTCATCTGATCGGGCGGCACGTGTACAGTAATCAGGGGCACCTCGATCAGATCAGCCCCGACCAGATCACAGCCGATCAGAGGAAAACAGTGACATGTCCTAATCTATACACAGGAATTTCGAGGTAAAACCCCCAACACCGACGTTTATCAGGCATTCGCCGAGTTCACCATGTGGCAATGCGACTGCAAGTTGGAAAATGTGATTCTGCGTTATGAAAATATTTGAAAACATTGTGGATCACAAACCAATATTATGCATCACTACCCACTGTACATGTTTTATTCTTCAAACGTATATAGTTCAGTAACGAGCGGCCCGTTGCCGGTGTTCCAATCTACGCCCCGGCTCACCCCCGGTGGACCTTGATGCATTGTAGCATCATTGACCATTTGAAGGAGAGTTGACCATGTTGGTGAACTGCACTGGCTCAGCACCCTTCCATGTCGATGTTGACGGGAGTCGTACCACCGCTCGTTCGCCTCCACGAACAGAGCGGAACGTTGACCCAAAGAAGGTCCACACACCAATGGGACCATTTTTCTCTCCCTCGCGTCAGTCACCTGCCAATCAGAAAGAGTCGCTGTTTCCACACATGACACAAAAATGAACTGATGGGATGAGTGATCGCTGACTCTCGTCAACAGATGATGGTTGACCTTTGAAACCCCATACAGAATCAACGAATCGGCATGCAGAATGGGTATGGTATGGCTCGCGGTATCAGGGTAAACACCCTGAATCTCAGGTACATTCCGCATGTTTTGTCAATGAATCCTATTTCATATGGGGCTGGTTCAGAAATCATCCGGACTATTTCAGGATGATTTGGCCGAGCAGTCGGGGGCTTTAGTGTTGTTCTGAGAACCTCCGGATGATTTGGCCGAGCAGTTGGGGACTTCAGTGTTGCTCTGAGATCAATCCTGAGTTTTTAACTCAGTACTAGTTGTCTTGTGGGATCGAGTAAAGAGATGCCTGTCAGTGTCCTCAGACACGACCTAAGTGTTACTGGTCTGTTAGTCCTGCCCATGCGATATGGACATTTGCGCCTAGGGTGGTGAACTGCTGTAGTGCAATTTCTGATTTCTGGAAACACATACGGACGCGGAAGGGAAACGTTTGGAGGAATGCTGATTTTCTCTGGATATTTTCTTAGGCGAACACGGAGCCTTCCGTGCGCTCAAAAATGAAAAATTTGCGCTGGTATGGATCTGTGAATTTTGCCATTGTGCGACTCGCTCGCAAATCAGGCAGCACTGCCAGGGCGAATTCTCAAGCGCGCTTTACAAACAAACTGCTATAGTATTCCACTTGAGCTCCTGCTGAACCGCGGAAAGCTGGCTGTTTATCGTGGACATGATTCAAGGTCCACGCATCTGTTGGATTTACTACAATCGCTAGCACGAGAGACTGGACAGGAAAGTTGCTATGATAGCGCCCTATTCTACCTGAGGTGGCCGTCAACTCTTCGGGGGGGATCAACGGTCAGCGATGCAAGGGAAAGTCGCATCCAGCACATTCCCAGGAACATTCGCCGTAGAGCACCCAATTTCAACTCACCAGGGACAATGGTTAACTGAGGTGGCCACACAGAGAGTAGGCACAGTTCGTTTGAATGCGGTTAACTGAGGTGGCTCACGCAAAGCGGTCAAAAGTGAGTTGGTTGGTTAAGGAATTTAGGAACACGAAACTGGGCCACTCCAACGGAACGACGGTAGCCCAGCACCTTATCCACATCATCGGCAGGTGGATCAAGAAAGTGGGTGCCTCTCCTCTTCATTCTCTAAGATATTCCTCTCAGGTTGTTTCAAACAGGTTGTTTTATTCACACAATCAGCATCTCGGTACCGTGACCCCTCTCGTCTTCTTTTTCAAAGCTTCGACTTAACTGAGTGTGTGGCGGCGTACAGCGATCTCTTCCAGAAGATTTAACATTATGGAAATTTCTCATCCGGCGAGCGGAGAGCATTCCGGCGAGGAGTCCTCCTCGCACAAGCTGAATGATCTCACTTCAGCGAGGCTGGGAGATAAAGGTAATGCGGGCGTGGAAAAACTCTCCAACGGATCCGATTCCGACTCAGGATTCAATGTCGCTCTCAAACAAGCGTTCCTCGCAATATCGAATCTTCTCACGCACCTTCTGACGGACAGGCTGCAAAATGCTGATGGAAACCGTCAACCTGACGGCCAACCGTCCGCTGAGGACCAACCTCCAGCTGCTGACAGTAGCCCCCATCCCACCTTGTCTGCTCCATCGCTTGGAGGTCCTGGGTTCGATTCCTGTCGCCAGGATGATAACGGAAAGCTTTCTGAGCAAGGGAACCAGAATCATGGGTTGGAAACAGAGCTATTACTAAACCTTGCCCGTGTGGCTAGAATCCTGACACCACAGTTGCCACGAATTGCCGCTACTAGTACCACTCAGAACCAATTCCATTTCGCAGTAGATTGGCCGCAGGAAAAAAGCAGACGTAATGGACGGCGCAGGTCGTTTGGATGTGGCGGTAAGACACCTGCTAATACTTCTAGGAGACGAAGATCACGTCTGTCGCAGGGAGCTGAAATGAAAGAGCAAGCAGCGGCAACAGCAGCAGCAGCAGCAGCAGCAGCAGAGGAACAGACTGCATTGCTGCCCCAAGACCAGCAAACCCAGCAACAGCAGCTGCAGCAACAGCAGAAGCAGCAACAGCAGCAGCAGCAGAAGCAGCAGAAGCGCAAGTCCCCACCTCCCTCTACTCCTTTCCCCAAATACCGCGGAGTGCGGCAGAGAAAGGCAGGCCAATGGGTGGCAGAAATAGAGGACACAGCTAAAAATATGCGCAAGTGGCTCGGAACATTTTCCACTCCTGAAGCTGCTGCCCGTGCATTCGACCAAGCTGCTCGGGAGCTCCGTGGGACCCGGGCAAAGACGAACTTTCCACTGCCCGAGGAGCAGGCAGGCAAGGGTGGAGATATAAATTGTGACAGGGAGACGGCTGTAAAGAGAAGGCCCTCAAAACGAGGTGTAATAGTTGATATGGATGATGGAAATGTGGGTGGGATGTGCCGTGGTGGTGCGGGTGGGGAAGGGTCCTCATGCCCTAGAATTGATGCACCCGTATGGGAAGGGTCTTGCAATGTCAGCATGAATGGATCAGAATCAAAAGGGGAGCCGGGTTCTGTGAGGAGTGTGAATTGGAAGGAGAATCGGGATCAAGATCAGGGCAGAGAAGAAGCTGTGGAGAGGAGTGCGGATGGGAGTGGGGAAGACAATGATGGAGGGGAGGATGAGGACCACTATTCACGTGGATGCTTCATGAAATTGATTTCAAGCGAAAGTGCGTGTGCAGATGCGGGGAACACATGCTTGATGGCCCTCGACTCAAAAGAGAGTGCATGTGCAGCTGCAGGGTATTCCAACAGAGCGGCAAGGGCATGTGCTTTTGCGGAACCAGCTTACCCTACTCCTACCAACCGTAAAATCACGGCTCTTGGCTTGCAGCTTGCTCGAAAGAACACACGTGGCAATCGTTTGCTGCAAGAGCAGGAATTGGTGATGGGGGGAGCGGTGGATCTAACGGCGTTGATTGGGGATGCCCCTAATGCCCCAGACGTTGCATGTGGAGAGCCATTGCTGCTTGGGGATTCTCTGGAAGAGGCATGGGTCACGGCAGGAGCAAGCAATCTGGCAGTGCTGGTTGGGAATGCAACTGATGGTTCGGTGATGGCAGATCAAGAGAGTTTTCTGATCAGGGATGCTCTGGAAGAGGGACCGGTAGCAGGAACAGCAAGCAATCTTGCAGTGGTGGTTGGGGATGCTCTTGAAGAGGCACTGTGCTCAGAAGGAGAAGATGATCGGGCAGAGCTGATGGGAGACCAGCCTGAGTTCCCAAATGACTTCCCAAATGATCGGATGGCGCTACACGCAGATGAATTTGGGTGTGCTGGGGACAGGAAGCTGGCAGGGCAGTCTGGAGAGACAGGGGAGGAAGGGGGGCGTGGGGGGGAGTCAAGGAAGGAAGGAGAGGAAGGGATGGAAGGGGATGCAGAGTGGAATGTGGTGCTGAGTCACATGCAGGAGGTTGCTGCTGCTGCGTCTTCTGAGCCGGGCAATGCTGGGGAGGACGCTTGGATACTGGAGGATATAATGCCTCTTGATGGATGACCGCAGGGTGTGACTGTGGAGGGTGTGAATGAGGAAGGTGTGAATATAAGGGGTGTGGCTCCAATGGGTGTCACTGGGGAGGGTGTGGCTATTGAGGGTGTGGCTCCAGAGGATGTATGCAGAGGGCGTGAGAGCAGGTGCTGCAGAGGATGATGATGTTCAGACGTGGAAAGCATTTACTGCAAGAGCAGGAATTTGGGGGGGGCGGGAGACCTAGCAGCATTGATCCGGGATGCCCCTAATGCTCCAGAAACTGCAGGCGGAGAGGCGTTGTTGCTTGGGAATTCTCTGGGAGAGTCACTGATCACTGCAGGAGCAAGCAAACTGGTGGTGCTGATTGGGGATGGCCTGGAAATCACAGATGGAGAGCCGTTGGTGCCCAGGAATGCTCTGGAAGAGACACGGGTCGCGGTAGGAGTAAGCAATCTGGACTCGCTGATTGGGGATTTCCCTGGCGCTCCAGAGATATCACATGAGCTTTTGCTTCTTCGGGAAGATTTCAAAGACTCTTTCAAAGATCTGGACACACAGATCACGACAAGCGCAAGAAACCAGGTATTGCTGATTGGAGATGCTCTTGAAGAGGCACTGATCGCTGGAGAAGTTGGAGTTCCATTGGATAATTGGGCAGAGCTGATTGGAGACAAGTTGGGATTTCCAAATGGCTAACCAAACGGCTTCCCAAATGGCTTCCCAAATGGCTTCCCAAACAGCTTCCCAAATGGATGTTCAGATGGCTTCCAAAATGGCTTACCAATGAGAAATTCCGCTACGCTGAGATTTCTTTGGGTGCACAGGGGACAGGAATTTGGCAGGGTGTGGAGAGAAATCGAGGAAGGAGAGGAAGGGTTGCAGGGGGATGCAGAAGAGTGGGATGCGATGCTGAGTCACATTCAGGAGTTTTCTGCTGCTTCATATGCAAATTCAGGCAAGCTGGGCTGGATAGTTGGATGCTGGAGGACCTACTGCCTCTTGATGGGTTGACTCTAGAGGGAGTGACTGAGAAGGACGTGGCTCTATTGGGTGTGACAGCAGCAGAGGTCAGTGTAGAAGGCGTGACAGCAGCAGGCGCTGCAGAGGATGATGCTGGAGAGCATAGTGGCTCCTGATGGGTTCACTATAGAGGGTGTGACTGTAGATGGTGTGACTCCGATGGGTGTCACTGTGCAGGGTGTGATTCCAGAGGATGGGACTGTACAGGGTATGATTCCAGAGGGTGGGAATGTAGATGGTGCGCTCCACAGGGTGACTTTCGAGGATGTGACTGCAGAGGGTGTGACGGGAGCAGGTGCTGCAGAGGGTGTGACAGCTGCAGGTGCTGCAGAGGGTGTGACAGTACCAGGTGCTACAGAGGATGAGGTTATTCAGGATTGAAGCAGCACTGGCTGCTATGGCAATGAGGTTGTATGTGTGAAACTCTCATTGTTCTTGTACCCACATCAGGGCTTCAGATTCGTTTTGGGGGACCCTTTGTAATCAGGGTTCTAGGTGTAGTCAAGTCTGATGCATAGGTGTAGTTTTTTCCCTGACAAAAACAGCATAAATTTTTTCCTACACTGAATCTGTTAGACTCATTTTGGCCATGTCCTGATTTTTGCAGCGTAATATTACTGATACTATGATTCTAAACTACATCAAACAGGACAATCCATATGTGCTTTGCAGAAGCTACAGAAGACCTTGCTTTCCACCACTCGGAAAGGTACTACCGGTAAGCGCTGGGTACCATTGGGTAGCATAGGTTGGCAGTATGTGACATAGGGTAGCATTAGTCATACTGTGCAAATCTCATTAACATTCGTGACAAAATTTGAAACAAACCCGTCATTTGCTTGAAATAATCAATTTAGATTCACATTTCAAGCTAAGACTAATTTTATGATTTTTTTTGATTTTTTTTTAGTAATCAGCACATACCGTTCCAATTTTTTCGCAAAACCAATGTTTAAACGGGTAAGGACGCGTTGAAAGTGCAAATATCGCAGGATCGTCTGCATATATCGATCCCCACAATCGCGCATTCAGATCGTTTGGCGAAACGTGGCGACCGCGACGTTGTAACGATCACGGCTGAAAATTGACAGATTTCCCGCGAACAGTGATCAGTCGCATTCTCACACTGTAGGGAAATTTTGGCCAGAACGCGTACTGTAGCATGGTTATAGAGTAGTTAATAGGGTAACCGATCCACACATCGATCGCGACTGACGATCGATCGTCTACTTTCAACGCGTCCTAAGACTAAAACGGTTGTCCTTATCGTTTTGTGATAAGGAACTCGTTCTCAGAAAAAATATTGGAAGCTGGCGTGGACAAAGCCATACCTTGCCCGCCGCGTGGGAACTTTCCCAGATTACGGTACATACCGTACCAATCCAGCCCCGCTGTACTGTACTGGCTATGATGCCCGCGCGTCAGCGTGTTACGTAACGCGACGTGAATCCCCCTGATTCTCGCGACTTCCAGGGCGAATCCTTCCCGCCTCAATGAAGGGTACTCCCCTGTCTGGTGAAGCCTTCCGCTTGTGGGGTAGTAGTGTAGGCTCATCGCGGAAAAGGTTTTCACCCTAAGTTGCGGGAAATGGGGTATTCTGCTGAAAAGCTTCCGAAATGCATACAGATGTATACAGAAAGTTGCGATCGTGAAATCGCAACCTACCCCCACTTGCACACTTGGTATTCACGCCAAGGGCAACGGAGCGCAAATGTACAATCTGTGTTGCCTTGGCGGGAAATCCGCGGCTCGACAATCGAAAAATATGAAACCTCGACATTGGGTGGTTCGGTAAAATACACCAGCGTATACAGTTGCGTAAACAGGCACATCGCGAGGCACACCACAATACACGTACACTTGTAGGTGTTAAGATAGTGGCACAAGTGGTAGTTAGGTTTAAGTGAGGGCCTAGGCTTAGTAGCCTAGGCCAAGGGAGTCGAGGGAGTTTGTGCCAAGCAGAGAGGCGAGAATTGGAGAATGGAATGGATTCACTATAGGTTTGCAAGAACATATAGCAAATGAACAAAGAAGGTGCACCACCTAACAAAGTTTATAATAACTACACTAACTACAGCTACAGGCAGTTACAGATATATTCTAACACTCCCCCATAACTGCCAGAAGCAGGAGTCTGTGCAGCGACACAACCTGGATGGGTACACCACGAACTGAGAAAACAGCAATAGCAGGCAACAGGCAAGGTTACAAAGCAGGTACAACAGCAAAGGGGGGGCAGGCACTCCCGCCACCCCTTTACTCTCCTCCCCCCCCCCCCCCACCTCAGAGGGACGGGGGCTGGATGTCTCACACCCGCCACCCCAATGCCACTCCCCTGGCTCCCCCACACCCTCACACCCTCCCCCCAGCGGCAGCTGCAGCAGTGGGAACGAAAGGAGGAGGAGGGGAAGGGACCATACCACCCATCTCCCCCATACCCGCCACCTCCATACCCTCCCCCCCACGGCTGCACGCGCAGCAGGAAGAAGAAGGAGGAGGGGCGGGGGGGGGGGGGGGGTGGCGGGGAAGAAGCCGCCCCACAGCCACAGAGGGGTGGCGCACAGGGAAGGGCAGGGGCGGCTGCACCGAGGGCAGGCGCGGGTAGGGTAGGGGCGGCTGCACCGAGTGCAGGCGCATGTGAGGCACGGGCGGCTGCACCGAGTGCAAGCGCATGTGAGGCAGTGACGGCTGCTCCGAGGGCAGGCGCGGGTGAGGCAGGGGCGGCTGCTCGAAGGCAGGCGCGAGGTGAGGTACGGGCGGCTGCACCGAGTGCAGGCGCATGTGAGGCAGAGGCGCCGTCGCGGGCGCCAGGGGCGGGTCCGCAGCGGCCCAAGGAACCGTCGTGGGCGCCAGGGGCGGGTCCGCGGCGGCTCAGGCCACCGTCACGGGCGCCAGGGGCGGGTCCGCGGCGGTGCAAGGCACCGTCGCGGGCGCCAGGGGCGGGTCCGCGGCGGCTCAGGGCACCGTCGCGGGCGCCAGGGGCGGGTCCGCGGCGGCGCAAGGCACCGTCGCGGGCGCCAGGGGCGGGTCCGCGGCGGCTCAGGGCACCGTCGCGGGCGCCAGGGGCGGGTCTGCGGCGGCTCAGGGCACCGTCGCGCGCCACGGGGCGCACGACGGGCAGGCAGGCACCGTCGCGGGCGCCAGGGGCGGATCCGCTACGGCTCAGGGCAGAACAAACGTCACGCGCCACCCGTGCGCGGGACATAACGAAAATCGCCACGCGCCCGAGGCGCGCGACCGGAAAAGCAGATGCGGAAGCGTGAGGCTGGCCCACAGGCCAGGACGTAACAAGCTCTAATGCCATGTTAAGATAGTGGCACAAGTGGTAGTTAGGTTTAAGTGAGGGCCTAGGCTTAGTAGCCTAGGCCAAGGGAGTCGAGGGAGTTTGTGCCAAGCAGAGAGGCGAGAATTGGAGAATGGAATGGATTCACTATAGGTTTGCAAGAACATATAGCAAATGAACAAAGAAGGTGCACCACCTAACAAAGTTTATAATAACTACACTAACTACAGCTACAGGCAGTTACAGATATATTCTAACAGTAGGGACTCGCATGTGGCTTGAAGACGGTAGCGATGTACGAGACCAAGATACCCTTCGTGCGTTTTTCGCAAATAAGATCTTGTACACAAAAGAAATCATCAACGTTCCACGTCACTGCCTCACGTCCACTCCTGGCCTCTCACCAACCAAGGTAATCTTTCTTGCCAATTGGTGCTGTGTGCATGAATCAAAGTCGGCACTCAGCAACTCCCTCATCCACACACTTTGCATACCTAACCTCTAAGTCGAAGTTGAAACCACACACTTCGTTCATTTGGTCTCCAAGTCGAAACCTATCTCTCCTCATTCCTGTTATGCTTACTAGATCATCTCTTCTCGCACGCTAGGTTTCTTGTCAGCTCGAAAAGTGTCCAGATCTATCGCCTTAGCTTGACACTATCCCCTTCTGATTCTTTTCCGACCCTGCCAACTCCCATGTTGTTGCCCATATTAAACAGGTACATTTTCTTCACAAGGAGAACGTACTGCTCGTGAATCTTGGCGGAAACGCCGGCTTCAGCGCCAAACGCTCTGGCGGCTACGAAAGCGGTGTGGGACGAATCGCCAGCGCCTACGATTTCGCGCCCTTCTTTTCGCGCATGTAGGCAATCAGCTGCCGTGCACATGCAATTACGTTAATCTATTATGTATCCTATGCCTCCATTTTTTGCGTTCGTTTAGTGTCCCACTCGGGTTGTTATCTCTCCCGTAGTTATACTCATTCGCTCAGACGCATCTCGTTACACGGTTTGGTTTTCTTTTTCCTCCCCAATCTCCCAGTTTCTAGCCGCGCAACCGCGACGAACCGCCGGACGTTTTGATATGTGGCGCCACCGTCGGCCAGCCGCAAAGGAATGTGTGCGCTAACAGCACCACGACGCCGGACTTTTGCGTGGAAGCCGCTCCCGGGAAGTCGCTTCAAAATTACGCAGAGTATGAGGTACGCATTTCAAGCACCTCATGTATCCAATCCGCTCACATCTTGTATCCATTTCGCGCTTTTTGTGAGTACCTCTAACGGCAAACGATAACGTTCATCTGTTGTTTGTTTTGTATCCCTTGAATAGCGCCGTTACTATCTACGCAACAGTCGTATGGTTGAAGCTGTCAAGGGAGATTGTTGAGTGGTTGTATATCGCACACACGAATGCCATTATTCGCTGAGACTCACGGTTGGTCTTCTTTTTGCAGGCTGTGTGCAGGCGCGTCGCGCAGGTCGATTATAGTCGTAGAGTAATTTGGTGGACTGGAGTAGTTGCTTCTTTCACTGTGTTAGAATATAAGGCACCAAATTTATATGCCATTTCTGTCAGTATAAGCGATTTCTTTAGTGATGGTTAAAAGCAATTGTGTACAAGAACCATAAATCAAAATTATTACCTCGTGAACCGATTTCGACGCAGAGCATTGCACGCGCAATTGTAATCCAATAATATGTCGTTTTGCATGCATACAACTCGTCTCTGATTGGTCCACATGGCTAGCTGACGTTCACAGATCGATAGTGACATGTGGCAAAATATCTATGCGTACGTGACACAAATATCTATACGAACGTACCCACGTACGTACACACTGAAGAAGAAACCGTACTCGTGTCACGTGGCATGCCAGAAAGGTTACATTGAAGTGACAACTAAGTATACGTCAGGTTGCGCTTAGGTGTCCACTTTGCATCCAAAATGTGTCTGAAATGTATCGGAAGAGTTGCTGAAACTCAACCCAATTTCCCGATACTTTCGACCTTGACTAGAAAATTGCGGGAGCAGGTATCCAGAAAGTAACCTTTCTGCAAGTTTTTGGCAACAATCTCGCAATCCCTTTCCCGCGATGCTGTGTGAAGAGCGCTTGGCGAGTACACTAGGGCAGTTGCTACCTGTGTCACGGACATTTGCATGTTTGGGCTATCAGACCAATCGCCAGCCCAGCGCGGGAAAGGAAGGGCTGGTCGGATCCGTACACATTATCACATTTTGTTTCCGTACGCCGGGGCGCCGTACGTAGTCGCATTTTTTCCAGCGTTGTCATCAGCCGCAGCACGCCACGCCAGCAAAACGACGGGGCCCCATGACTGGGTGGCACTGGGACACGCACGTGGGACCGAGTTTGAGCGGCCAATTACCTGGGCCCGAGCCGTGGCCCCGACCAAGGGGTTCGTGTTCCCGCCCGCTGATGTCAGGGAAGGAAGGGCCGCTGCATGGGAAGGCGCGGGTGTGGCGGACCATCCAATCTTGATGATGAAGAGCCTCCAAACCTCAAACTCAACCCGTACTACTTTCTGCTAGCTTTAAAATTTCTCGAACGGATTCCGGATCCCTTCTGCATGTTTTCTGAGCTACCACTACCCTAAATCCAGCTACACCATGTCGTGGCAATCTTACGTCGATGATCAACTTATGGTTCGCTTTCCGTCCGGAGGGTAGCTGACAGGGGGTGCCATTTACGGTCAGGATGGCGAGCTTTGGGCCAAAAGCGCCAACATGCCAGCGGTAAGATGGGAAATATGCCCTATGCTCCAGCCGCGCATGTCTTGGCAGGCTATCTTAGATCGATTTTCATCGCTTTCTACACGGAGGGCGGCTGAAATCTGCTGCATTTCAAGTTCAGGATGATGGCCTTTGGGCCGGAAGCGCCACAGTAAAGATGGGAATTATTCAGAAGGCAGGAAGGGTGATTGGTGACATTATTTCAAAATATTAGGTTTTCTTTATTTATTTGATTGTTTATCGCCCCTAATGCGTGAACTGATATGTTCCCACGATTTCCAGGTAACAGAAGATCAGATTCGAGCGATTCTGGAGGGATTTGACAACCCGAATGTGGTTGCGTCGAACGGGATAAAGCTGGGTGGAAGGAAATACCTCCTGACGGGGCAGACTGCTCCAGGTGTCATTCGAGGCGCACTCATAGGGCTTGCAACGGTACAGCCCAGGCATTCGCGCCTTCACATAAGTTCATATTGAGGGAGAAGGGTGTTCCAGGTGTCATTCGTGCCCGACACTAAACCATTGGTTCGGTACACTGCACATGCATTTTCGTTGTAGGAGGCGTTCTTGAAATCGACCTACGGTACATCACAATTGCTGGGGAGCATGACTCATGTGTCATTCGTGCCCTACCATTGGGTCGGTACACTGCACATGCATTTGCATCTGCTATGTTAAAGCTCGCGGCCCAAATTGTACAACTTTACTAAAGTTGGACTCTGGCTGCTGATTCATTGAGAGCAATCCTTTGAGCAATCCTGGTTTCTCAATCTTGCCAATCACAAATCCCCCACAATCTCATCTCTGGCCGCACACTCTTGAAATGCCATTCTAAAACAACTCAACAAGTTTATGTGTCACACATGTACGCTGACCAGGGCCCTGAAACACTTGTATGTATTGTCACATTTTGAGCCATTCTCCCACTTGCCGTCATCAGTACCATGTCACTACATCACATTCATGCGTGTCACATCTTTGCCGATCACAAATCCTGCACTTCCTCTTTGGCCACCTCTCCCCCAACAACCTCTATTCCCCCCACGGCCTCTATTCCCTCCCCAGCCATCCCCTCCACAACCTCCACCCCCTCAACCCTTACCTCCCCCTCCCCCTCCCCCTCCAACCCCTCCATCCCATCACTCTCCTCCGCTCCCTCTCCCCCTTCTTCCTCCCCCTCCCCTTCCTCTCCCCCCTCCGCCCCTTCCCCAATTTCCCCCCCTCCTTCCCCCTCCCCACCCCCCTCCAGCTCCAAACCTTGCTGTTCGAACCACTCAGGTTCAAACCCCGCAAACTCAAACCCCTCCCCATTGGGGCCCACCTTGCTCCAATCCACTCCTCTCTTCTCCATCTCCTCTACAAACCCCGACATTATATCCGCCATCATTGCCCCTGCGTAATCATCCCCTCCCTTCACCCCCTCCTCCTCCTCCCCCGTTCCCCCTGTCCCCTCCGCACCCTCTCCTTGTTCCTCTTCCTGGTCGCCGTCAGATAACACCTCCCCCATAACAAACTCGAGTTTCCTGGCCGTCGCAATCTGCTGGCTGATCCATGTTTCTATCATGCGCTGCAAGCAGGGTAGAGAGCCACGGAAAAGACAGGGAGTATAGAAAGGAACGGATAGGGGGTTTAAATTGGGGGGGGGGTTGTGGTTTAGAAACGGGGGGTTTCGGGGGAAGGGAGGGAGGGGGGGAAGGGAGGGAGGGTCCGGACGAAGGAACAGAGGGCTTTTCAGGTAAAGCACCCTGTTGGTCAAGCACCGTCGAGGTGCCTTTCAGGTAAAGCACCCTGTTGGTCAAGCACCGTCGAGGTGCCTTTCAGGTAAAGCACCCTGTTGGTCAAGCACCGTCGAGGTGCCTTTCAGGTAAAGCACCCTGTTGGTCAAGCACCGTCGAGGTGCCTTTCAGGTAAAGCACCCTGTTGGTCAAGCACCGTCGAGGTGCTTTTCATGTAATCTGATGTTACCTCCCAGCTGTGACGGTGCTTGACAAACTCGATCTTGCTCGCTGTGGCCCGCGTGGCTGTGGCCATGCGTCTTGCTCGCTGTGGCCTGCGTCTCAAAGCGCAATCTTTGAGTCGACTCAAAACCCAGAGGCCTGTCCCCCCAATATCCTACCAACTCAATGTCATTTTTATAAGGTGCTTCACATTAGTTAGTAGCAGCTTGCTAGGAGGTTGCCTCCTTTGGTGTCATGCTCCCCTTTTACACCCAGTCAAAGTACTCGTTATAGTATGACTCACAATATATATTTTCATCTCACCTGCGAGTTGAGTGCCTGGTCAGCAGGCACCTCAAGCCTTGCTTCACTCTTGCAGAACCGTAAGAGTCAAAATGTCATGCTCTCATTTTTCCTTCGCCATTGTACTCATTATAATTTGTCTCAGAACAGTTACTAGCAGCTCACCTGCGAGTTCAGCGGTTGGTCAGCAGGCACTTCATGCCCCGCCCCATGCAATACCACATGCGTCAGCATGTTATGTTCCCGCCAATACCCCGTCACCGTGCTATCCTCGCTATAACGATCCCCACAATACTAATCAGCAGCTCACCTGGGAGTTGAATGGCTGGTCAGCAGGCACCTCATGCCCCGCTCCATGCAACACCACATGCGTCAGCATGTCATGTTCCCGCCAATACCCTGCCACCTCCCCCTCCACCTCCCACAACCGCCTCTCCACCGCCCAGAACCGCTCCATACCCTTCCACTGTAACTCCCGCATCCACTCCAGCGAGCACGCGGCGCCGTCTTTAATGTCGTATATCCCCTGATATAGCAGCATCGGGACGCGGTTTAAGAGCCCTTCTACTAGGTGCATAGTGGATTTCATAGTGTCGTTAGACATATGCTTGCGCACGCGAGGGCTGCAGGAAACCCAGGTGACAGCCGCGTCGGCTTTAAGGACGTCTTTAATCTCCGGGCGGTTGAGGTATAGGGCGAGGTACTCCTGCTTGTCCTTGTTGTGGTGGTAGGCGCGGGTTCTTCGGATGTCCAAGGGCGTTGCAATGCCGCTCACGTTCTGAGAATGAAAAGAGGGCAGGGGAAGGAGGAAAGGGAGGGGGGAGGGGAAGGGAGGGGTAGTTGAGGTACAGCGCAAGGTACTCGTGGCGGTCCTTGTTGTGGTGGTAGGCGCGGGTTCTCCGAATGTTTAAGGGCGTTGCAATGCCGCTCACGTTCTGTGAATGAGAGGGGTGAGAGGGAGGGCACCAACGAGAGGGAGGGCACCAACGAGGGAGGGGAAGGGGGAGCGGGGATGGGGGTGGGAATATAAGAATAGCCAGCGATGGGTGGTGGAGGTTCAGTATGCCCTCTTTACTGCAATGAATCTTCTGATTTTTACCCCTACACCCGCCCTCGTTTTCCCCCGTTTCTTTTTGCAGGGAAAGAGGGAGAGGGGGGGGGGGGGGGGGGGGAGGGGAGGGGAGGGGGAAGGGAAGGGGGGAGCAAAGGGGAAAGGGGGGGGGAGGAAGGGGGGGGGGGGGGGGGGATTTAAGTTTCTGTTAGTCGGGGTTTAAGGTTACTACCTGCTCAAAACTTGAGAAAGCATAGAAAGCATTCCTTCACAGACATGGTTCCAGCGCCATCTGCAGCTGTTCGAACGAGTCCTTAGCAAATAAAACTTCACTGGACCTGAATCCAGTTGACGAGATTCCTCCATCTTGCAAAGCTTCCTGCCATTCTTTTACCAGAATTTGAGACATCTCTCTCTACATGAACCTGAATCTCTCTCCCTACCTGAATCTCTCTCCCTACCTGAATCCAGTTGACGAGGTTCGTCCGCTCTTGAAAAGCCTCCTGCCATTCCTCCTTATCAATATGCGCCACGACGCGATTCGCCCACTCCTTGGCCCTATCCCGCTGCTGCTGATCCAGCAACCCAGCGCTGTACGCGATATCAGCATGCGCCTGCACCTGCGTACGCGGATGCGTCAACCCGTTACCGATTATAACCCCGTCCAGCCGGAACGGATGCCTGTATCCGCCCTCGCCGTCGCGTTTGAATTTCAGACGCTGTCGTAACTGCTGCTGCGCCATATCCAGTTTCCCTACAAGGAGGGAGCCTAAAGCGGGGACATACTTTCCTGCGTAACTCTCCCCTGCCAAAAAGAACGGCCTCTGGCGAAATGGCGGGAAAAGGTCGAAGAATGATCGGAGCGCGGTGTACAGATCCCTTGCCACGTCATCCTGATCCAGAGGAATATCCTCATCTGAAGGAACTACACTAAAACCCGTACCAACGGGGTTGTCTATAAAGAGGACACCGTAGCGACGGTTCCAGGGAGCGGGGTTGGGCTCGATATCGAGCGATTCGGTAATTCGATAAGGGCCGAGTTCGTAGAAATTCCCGATCATGCTGGAACAACCGGGACCGCCTTGAAGCCAAAGAATGATTGGCGTATCGGATTGAGCCGTTTCGGGCTCCATCGCCTCGTAGTATGCGAAGTACATCTTCGCACCCGTGGTTTCGTTAACGATCAGGTAACCCGACGCACTAGGGAGAGCTTTTTTCGGGAAAGGTGCCAGGCTCTGATTTACGGTCTTGACTTCACTAGAGAGTTCTTCGCTTCTGGTGTAAGAAGCGAACGGTAACGCTGCCAACAGGAACCAAGCTAGCATCCTGAGGACGGAGGAGATCGAGAGAATCCTGGTATCCATGGCGAATCGCATGATCGATCCAAGAAACCTCATTCACCTCTGCTTGCGTAGAGGCACCAGTTTGCTTCACAAATGCACGGAGGAACTACAAAGGAGCAGGCGACGAGGAACGATGGAAGAAATACGAGGAAACAGGAAGCCCAAATTACTTCGAGGAACTAAAGTACCAGGCTCTAGCAAGCCTCTTAGAAGCCTGCACAAACGGGATTCTGTGGCTCGTATTGCTAGATCGAGCGTCGACAGCAGGTTTTGTGGGTGGCGGACAGGCGAATCCATCGTGTGAAGAAGCCTCGAGATTCCGCGACGCGTGATCAAGAGCACCAGCCGTTTCCTACTGGTTCTCGTCAGTCTGACGAAAGGTGGGGCTGAAGTGACGTGGACCGAGGCGCTAGGAGCAATATTCTCGAGGCAAGTTTCAGCTGAGCTTTGTTTTGGCGGGAAGACATCACCTAGGGGAATATTCGCTCGAAAGCTGCAAAAAGATTCCAACCTATTTTGGCTGCAGCGAGAAAGCAAACAGGCTGCTCATCGTAACTGAAAGTGGAAAAGAAAAATATTGTAGCATACAAAATGATGATTGGGTCACTAGTTCAATCAGTCCTACCACTTGATTTCTCATTGATAAATTCAAGAGAGTAAAAAATGTACAGAAAAAGACACAAGCACCAGCCGGACTGGTAGACTGGTGGCCTTTGAACGAGACACTGTACAGTTGTCGCGACTCTTTGAAGCAAAGAGCAACTATCGCAAAAAAAAGGCAGCCCATTCAGTAAGTCCCCCTCGTGTGGCCTTACCTCCACAACTGCAACAGTGTCATGCTACAGAAGCATCTCTATCTACCCTTCTCCCTCTTCTCCCTATATCTACCTCCACACACTGGACATCCGTTCTCCTCCACCACTCACAGCTCCTTCACACACCGCACCTCCACCAAATCCCCATCCCTGAGACACATGCTGGAATCCTCTGGCTTTCCATTCACGAGGATAGCCTTCTTTGCTGCACACAACAAAAGCATTTCTACTGTAAAAAGAAGCCAAGCCACCCACCTACAGCTCCTCAACACAGCGCACCTCCACCAGATCCCCATCCCTGAGGCGCGTGCTCGGATCCACCCGCTTCCCATTCACAAAGATAGACTCCTCTGCCGGGTACAGCACAGCAGCAGCAGCATCTCTGTCAGAAGCAGTGGCAGCGCCGGCAGCAGCATCACCCACCTCATCATCAACTACAGCTCCCCCACACAGCGCACCTCCACCAGATCCCCATCTCTAAGCCGTGTGCTGGGATCCACCCGCTTCCCTTTCACAAAGATAGACTCCTCTGCCGGGCACAGCAGAGCAGCAGCAGCATCAACCACCTCATCATCACCTACAGCTCCCCCACATAGCGTACCTCCACCAGGTCCCCATCCCTGAGCCGTGTGCTCGGATCAACACGCTTCCCATTCACAAAGATAGACTCCTCTGCCGGGTACAGCAGAGCAGCAGCAGCATCAACCACCTCATCATCACCTACAGCTCCCCCACATAGCGTACCTCCACCAGATCCCCATCCCTGAGCCGTGTGCTCGGATCAACACGCTTCCCATTCACAAAGATAGACTCCTCTGCCGGGTACAGCAGAGCAGCAGCAGCATCACTGTCAGAAGCAGTGGAAGCGCCGGCAGCAGCATCACCCACCTCATCATCACCTACAGCTCCTCCACACAGCGCACCTCCACCAGATCCCCATCTCTAAGCCGTGTGCTGGGATCCACCCGCTTCCCATTCACAAAGATAGACTCCTCTGCCGGGCACAGCACCGCACTGGAAACGTCTCCATAGCCCCGGGCCCCACTAACGGCTCTAGAGCCCGAGGCAGAGGGAGTGGCGGTGGTGGGGGAGAGGGAGAGGCGCAGCCCGTCGGATGAGATGACTGCAGCCGCTGCTGCTGCATCCCCTGTGGCCGCCTTGGCTCGTAGGCGGGCAAAATCACCTGCCAGACTGCCAGCTGGTAAGCGCACTATCTCACCACCTGTAGGAACAGGCAAGGGAGGATTAGTGGATTGGAGAAGCTGATAGAGAGCGAAATATCACATACCAGCCAAGTTGCCTGGTGGTATGCACACTATCCCACGCTTTGTGGCAGTGGTGGCATGGCATGGGGTTCATGCACGAAGTTCAATCAACAACCATGTTGACTCGTAACAGATTCTTACCAGGCCAGCTTATAACGAGAACTTCACTGAGAGCAACAGCGTCCACTAGGCTGTCTTGTCCTGTCCCATCCCGCTCCCCTCCCATCTCATCCCCCTCCCCTCCACTGCTGCCACTGCCGCTGCTGCCACCACCACTGCTGCCACTGCCGCTGCTGCCACCACCACTGCTGCCAAAGCTGCTGCTGCTACTAGTGCTATCTATGCCAAGACCAGCCAGGGTGCCATCCGGTGCTGCCTCGTGCCGAACCTCCCGCTCCCATTGCAGCATGGACCGGAGAAGCCGAACCTGTGAGACAGGTCCGGGACAATCGCAAGAAACGGGAAAGGATAACAGGGATAGCAGGCATTGGACAAGGCAGAGACGAACTAGAAAAGATCAATGAAAGAGGCAGGCTTAAAGCCCACCTTGTCGTTGATGTGAGGTTGGAGAGAGCAAGGAAAAAAACAGACTCCAAAACCCACATTATACTTGATGTGAGGTTCGAGCGAACAAGGAATCGATAAGACTTAAAGCCCACCTTGTTGTTTATTCGTGCAGCAGACGAGAGTGGCGCCTCCTTCCCGTCAACCCCGCTGTTACCACTCGAGCTGCTAATGCCACCACTAGCCATGTTACTGTCTCCACCCACGCTAGTCGTGACATCAGCAGCAGTAGCAGCAATAGTGCTGGGTGTAAATGCCACCCATGGTTCGACGCCACCACCATCTACACCATCCATCCTCCTCTCCTCCTCTCGCTCCCTCTCTCGCTCCCTTTCTCGCTCCCTCACTTGCTCCCTCTCTCGCTCCCTTGCCACCAATTCCCTCCCCTCCACTCCTCTCGTCCACCCCCATATCCTCCCAAGGCCCCATTTCCACATCCCTCTCCCTCCATCCATCCTCTCCTCCTCACTCCCCTCCTCTCCCCCCCACCTCTCCTCCTCCCCACTCTCCCCCTCCCCCAACCCTCCTATTCCTGCCGCAGCTAACCCCTCTATAAGCGCCACTGCTACAGTGGCTTCATAATCTACACTCTCTTCGTCAGAAAGTTCTAAAAGCTGTATAAAAGTGGATTGCGCACGGCCGAATTGGTCCACTTTATGGTATATCCCATCACTGCATAACGAGTATTTCTCCAAAACGGTGCTCCAGTCCCCATGCCCAGGGGAATTCCACCAAGTATCCTTCACCCGCGCAAAAAGACGAACGTTCGCCGCCCACCGCTTCCCCTGCGGCCCGCTCCGGGCAGCCACGAGCGTATCTCGGGCAGGCAGGGAAAAACTCGACGCGACAAGAAGAGTGTTTCCAGAATTCTCCGAACTAACCACCACAGAGGTTAATAACTTCCCATCTTCTACCCTCAAGGCTGGATGCCCCTCCAATATCACTTTTCCATTAGGTAGCTGTATCTTAGCAAGCCGAGAAACTGAATTTTCCTGAACCCCCCCTGCTGCCTCCCCCTCTCCTTCCTCCTCCAAGTCACCCTCCACCTGATCCACCTCCCCCACATCAGACAAAACAGCTGCAGCCGGGGGTACAGTAGCCACAGGCACCACACCTGCATCCACCACCGGGGCTGTGGCAGGCTTGGGCCGAGCCTGAGCCTCCGAGCCTGTGCTGCTTCGAAGTGTAAATGCTGGTGTTTGATCTGGTTCGGATGACGGGGTAAGTGTTCCTGCTGGCATTGCTGCTGCTGCTGCTTGTGGCAGTGTTGCTGCTGGTGATGATGATGGTGATGGTAATGATACCGTTTCTATAGCAACACTTAGAGTGGAAGAATTAGCATCGGACTGGCTCTGCTGAATAAAATTTCTACGCAATTTGTCCTCCTGCTCCTCCTGCTCCTCCTGCTGCTGTTGCTGCTGCTGCAGCTGCTGCAGCTGCTGCTGCTTCTCTATCTCCCCTTCCAAACCACCAGACCCCACTCTCACTGTTGCAGCATCTGTGCGCTCACTGCTGCTGCTAGTCGCCCTGCTGCTAGCAGCCATCCTCCCTTGCAGGCTCCTGTTGCTCTGAGTCCCTCCCCTGGAAGTCCCTTGAGAAATCTCCGTACTCCCACTGTTGCTTGTGTTGCTCTGCGTCCCCCCTTTGAAACTCCTTCCAACGATCTCCCCGCTTCCACTGTTGCTCCTGTTGCTCTGCGTCTCACCCTTAGAGCTCTCCCTCCCCCTGTTGCTCATCGTTCCCCCTTTGGAACCACTTCCAGTCATACCGCTGCTGGCAAACCCCTCAAACGGTTGCTTCTCAAAATCCGTGGCTGAACTCCCCTCTCTGCTCCTGTTGCTCATCGTTCCCCCTTTAGAGCCACTCACAGTCATACCGCTGCTACCAATGCCCTCGAACGGTTGGTTCTCAAAATCCGTGGCTGAAAACGGCTGGAACTTGCCTGTTGCACGCCTCCTCTCCCGACCGCTATCAGCGGCACCAGAAGCAGCAGCAGCATCAGAAGCAGCACCAGCAGAAGCAGAAGGGTCAGAAGGGGAAGGAGAGGAGAGGAAGGAGGATACTTTGGAGGAGACAGACGAGGTGAAGGAGGAGAGGAGAGAAGAGGAGGAGGAGGAGGAGGAGGAGGAGGTTGAACCACCCTGCTGCTGCGGCTGCTGATTGCTGCCTGACTGTACAGGTGGCGCGTTCTCATTGGACGGCGATTCAGGTTCTGTAGAGGGGGCGGAGTCAGGAGTATCACTCTCCTTGTACAGCCAATGGGCTGCATGGCCGAACTCTGCATACTCGTGCATGGACTGGGGGGGGGGGGGAGGGTGAAGGGAGGGAGGGGAGAAGCAGAAGGGGGTGGGAGGAAGGGAGCAGAGTATCACTCTCCTTGTACAGCCAATGAGCCGCGTGCCCCAACTCTGCATACTCGCGCATGGGCTGGGGGGGTTGAAGGCGAGGGGATAGGATGGGCAGGGGAGGCAGGAGAGGATAGATATATGGATACACCACCACGGAGTCAGGAGTGTCACTCCCCTTGAGGTGTGTTTTGACGTGCCTCAAAACACACCTCAGGGGAGGCAGGAGAGGATAGATATATGGATACACCACCCAAAGTCAGGAGTGTCACTCTCCTTGTACAGCCAGTGAGCCGCATGCCCGAACTCTGCATACTCGTGCATTGACTGGGGGAGAGGGAGGGGGGAGACGGGGAGAATGAGCTCTCCTTGTAGGAAAGATGGACGGATATACTACCAGAGTCAGGAGTGTCACTCTCCTTGTACAGCCAGTGAGCTGCATGGCCGAACTCTGCATACTCGGGCATGGTCTGAGGAATTGATGGGAGGAAAACGAAGGAGGGGGGGGGAAGAAAAAGAGAAGAGGCAGCGTGAGAGACGAATGAAAGGGCACATTAGCAAAGTGATGGAGCTAAGAAAATAGGGAATTTACTCCTTTTAGCTTTTTTCACGAGGGTTTAGGCAAAAAGCAATGGATGCACAATGGGCCAGTAATAAACATGAAACCCACCTGAGTGCGGATTTGCACTTCCAAAGGTGCTCCGTCCGGTTTTTTAGGTGCCTTTAATATCGCACTTGCACTACTGCGTTACAACGAGGCATTGTTCACAAGGCCAGTAGTGAACATGAAACTCACCTGAGTGCGGATCTGCACTTCCAAAGGTGCTCCGTCCGGGCCCCTGACAGCCGTGTGCAGTGACTGGTGAGCGAGGGGTAGAGGTGGGGTGGTGGGAAGGGGGGGAAAGAATAGGGGAGAAGCAGGTATGAGAGCGCGTGAGACGAGACAAGAGGAGCTCCGTCCGGACCCCTGACAGCCGTGTGCAGTGACTGGTGAGAGAGAGAGACAGAGATGGGGGAAAGAGGATGCAAAGGAGAGGAGTGAGTAGCGAATAAATTGTCTGATATGCTAAGAGTCGAATTGTCAGGGAATGATTGCAATAGCTGCATTCAATAAATCAATATTCCATTTTCGCATTGACGTGACAACTCAGCGTTACCTGGTAACCGCTTGGCTTGGGATTGAGGATGTAGTCGTCAAACTCTCCACCAATGGGAGTCCAGAGACTGGTTTGGGAGCAGGGGGGTTTCGGGAGAGGAGAAGGAGGGCAGAAAGGCGTGACAAATGAGATGGCATCAGAGGTGGGAAGGGAAGGCAATAGGGCAGAGAGCAGGAGATCTTGGAATAGGGGAAGACGGGCAGGAAGGCATGGAAATGAGAATGTGTGAGGGCGGCGGAAATGAAGGATATTGAGACAGCGGAGGAAGGGATAGAAGGCTTGGAAGGGAATGGCATGAGAGGAAGATAGGGGGGGCAAGAGAAAGGAAGGAAGCGCAAGAGAACGAAAATGAAGAATGAGCCCGGGAGCAAGGCTCCAGGGCCTTATATACTAGGGGAGAAGGGTATACCTCACAAGCTAACCTATCTCTCTCTCACCCGCTGGGTAAAGGTAAGATGAGAATAGAGATTACAAATGTAGGGGAGAAGGGTAGGCCTCACAAGTTAACCTCTCTCTCTCCCTCTCCCTCTCCATCTCCCTCTTCTTCTCCTTCTCCCCCTCCCTCTCTCCCTCTCCCCGTATCTCTCCATCTTCCCCTGCTTCTGATCATCTCCAATTGACATCTTCTAATCCTCATTCTCATTTGCACCTTCCTCTGTGCCTTCGCTTCCACCATCATCACCTGATCATATCTCCCCTTCCTCACTTTCTTCCTCTTCGTTTCCTCTCTTTCCATCCTGCATACTCTCTACACTAACCTCCTCACCTCCTCCCTTTAACACCCCACCCCTTCCTCTCCCAACTCCACCGCAGGTCCTTGCACCCAGTACACTTGCATCACCACTACAAAATCCTCCGAGCGTAAGGGTAAGAAGGAGAGCAAAGGGGATTTTGTAGTGGTGATGAGAGTGTACTGGGTGCAGGGACCTACGGTGGAATTGGAAGAGGAAGTAGTGGGGTGAGGAAAGGAGGAGGTGAGGAGGTTGGTGTAGAGGGTACGCAGGAGGGAAAGAGAAGAAACGAAGAGGAAGAAAAGGGAGGAAGGGGAGATCCGATCGGATGATGATGGTGCAAACGAAGGCGCAGAGGAAGGTGCAAATGAGGATGAGCATCAAAAGATGTCGATTGGAAATGATCAGAAGCAGTGGGGGATGGAGAGAGAAGGGGAGGGAGACCTGTGCACATGGATTAGACCCACCCACCTGTGCACCACGCAGAGCAGGTTGTAACAAGCTTCCACTGCCGCCTCGTGCTGCGTCCCGTTAGCATCCCCCACCACCACCCGCAGCGCCCGTGCGTCGTAGATTTTGTCGAGAGGCACGCGCTTGCGCCGCATCTTGGCGTGGCAGCTGTACATGCTCTTAAGGCGGCCGGAGAGGACCACCTCCATCCCTGGCACATAGCTGCATTAGGGGGTGGGGGAGTTGGGGACAGAGCACAGTGCATCTTGGCATGGCAGCTGTACATGCTCTTGAGGCGACCGGAGAGGACCACCTCCATCCCTGGCACATAGCTGCACTAGCGCACTCCTAGTGCCACGATAAGCACACTCACGGGGTGGTGATAAGCAGCTCTCGCTGCAGTGCCTCCTCGCAGCCATGCAACGCCGTGAGAGCCACCTCTGCATCACGCATCACCCCCACTGCTTGCTTGCAGCCCCACTAGCCCCATTAGCCCCACTAGCCCCATTAGCCCCACTAGCCCCATTAGCCCCACCACTACTAGCAGCACTCACGGGGTTGTTATAAGGAGCTCTCGCTGCAGCGCCTCCTCGCAGCCGTGCAGAGCCGTGAGCGCCACCTCTGCATCGCGCATCACCCTCGTCCTCCTCCTCCTCACACCCCCCCCACTCACTGTGCCACTTGTGGTGCCATTTGCAGCAACACTCGCACCACCACCACTACCCGCACCACTGGAACCACTGGTTGTACCATCAGTAGCACTTGTTCCACTGCCGGGGGCAGCAGCACCAGCACCAGTAGCAGCCCTACCAGCAGCAGCAGGCCAAGCCACTGCCCTGCTCCGCCTGTTCCTATCCGCCAGCAGATCGAACGGCACAACCGCTTCGATCAAATCCCGAACCGACGGCTCTGATTCCCCCTCCTCCCCCTCCTCGTCCCTCGCGCCCTGTAGCAGCTTGCCACCTGGCACGGCGTCCAGTACTGCTCCCTCCGCTGCAGCCACCATGGATAGGAACTCATTCGCTATAAGCACACCGCTGCTCTTGGCACCTTTTGTGAGACTGTTTCCTTGAGTGGAACCTTTTCCCTGCATGGTGCCACTGCTCCCTTTTCCTTTCTGAGTGCCGCCGCTGGTGGTGGTGCCTTTCTTGGTGCCGCCTTTCTCTGCCGATCCTGCGTGTGTGATGAAGTGAATCAGCCCTTTCTCAGGTTCATCCCTGGGGGATTCACTCTCTGGTGTTTGCTGCTGCGTGATTGGAGCAGCACCATCCATCCCTGCGGCTCTGCTGCTGCCGCTGCTGCGACTGCTGCCACTGCTGGAGCTGCTGCTGCTAGTGCTAGTGCTGCTGGTGATACTGCCACTTGCACTGCCGCTGCTGCTGCTGCTGGTGCTGCCCCCTCCACTCAGCGACCCACCTCTGTCCACCCGCCGCCCAAAACCAAAAAACTCCGAGTCACCCCCACTCCCACCTTCGCTGTCGCTGTCACTGTCACTATCCATGCCGCTACGGTGGTATGCAGACACGCTGCTGTCCCCAGCAGGAATCGCAGCAGCAACACCACCATCTGCAGCATCAGCAGCAGCACTATCACCAGAAGCACTCCCAGCAGCGGCAGCAGCAGGGGGGCGGGCAGGGCGGCGGCGGAGGCGCAGGCGCTCTCTCAGCGACCGCCAGTCCTCAGGGGAGCTCCACATGGTGGCCAGCTCGCCTCTCAGCTGTCGGAATATACGTGGCTGGAGTGGGGTTCAGTGCGGTTGGGGGAAGAGTGGGAAGGGGCGTGAGGAATACGCATCTACCTTCTCTCAGCGACCGCCAGTCCTCCGGGGAGCTCCACATGGTGGCCAGCTCGCCTCTCAGCTGGCGAAATATGCGCGGCTGGAGTGGGGTTGAGTGCGGTAAGGGAAGGAGCGGGAAGGGTTGTGAGGAATAGAGATTTCCCTTCCCTCTGAGTGACCGCCAGTCCTCAGGAGAGCTCCACATGGTGGCCAGCTCGCCCCGCAATTGGCGGAATATGCGCGGCTGGGGGGGTGATTTAGGGGGAAAGGGGGAAAGGAGGCAGGGGAAGGGGCGCAGGCGCTTCTCAGCAACTGCCAGTCCTCCGGGGAGCTCCACATGGTGGCCAGCTCGCTTCAAGGCGTGAGGCGAAACGAGAGACCCGAGTGCTAAGTCACCCTTGCATAGTCACACACAGACACGCACAGACCCACACAGACCCCACCCCAGCTGCTACGGACATTTTGAGTCGACTCAAAAGTCAACGAGAGACACGGACTGACTCCTAAGTCACCCTTGCATAGTCACACGCACAGACCCCAGCTGCTACGGACAGTCACCTCTTTGTGTAGCAAGCCGCGCTCACCTCCAGCACCGCAAAGCAGAGGTCCTCCAGCTCGGCTTTCATGGGCCACACACCGAGGCGAGCAAAGGAGGGCGAGCAGATAGGTGCTTCGCCTGACTCACAGTATAAGATTTTCTAAGCACGCTCACCTCCAGCACCGCAAAGCAGAGGTCCTCCAGCTCGGCTTTCATGGGCCACACACCGAGGCACAAACACAGAGAGGGAAGCAGGTGTGTAACAAGATATGAACCCAAGACAAACTCACCTCCAGCACCGCGAAGCATAAGTCTTCTAGCTCTGATTTCACAACCCACACACCGAGGCACACACACAGAGAGAGGCAGCTCATGGTTATCATCCCAACCCAAGACATACTCACCTCCAGCACCGCGAAGCATAAGTCTTCTAGCTCTGATTTCACAACCCACACACCGAGGCACACACACAGAGAGAGGCAGCTCATGGTTATCATCCCACCCCAAGACATACTCACCTCCAGCACCGCGAAGCATAAGTCTTCTAGCTCTGCTTTCACGGCCCACACACCGAGGCGAGAGGCGAGGGAGCACCAGACAGACAGCGTCTCCTGTGCCACTGCCCGTGCCTTGCTGTCCTTCAGTGCGTAGCTGGGAGGGGGAGAGGGGAGGAGGAAGCAGCCGCAGAGAATACGAGAGAATGGGCAACAGGCAGAATAGAGAGGCCAGGGAGCACCAGATGGAAAGTGTCTCCTGTGCCACTGCCCGTGCCTTGCTGTCCTTCAGTGCGTAGCTGGGGGACGGGGGAGAAGGAAGGGGACAGAAGTAGAAGAAGGGTGAAAGCAGTTAAGGGTGAGAAACAAGAAAGGGTGAAAGCAGTAAAGGGTGAGAAACAAGAAAGGGTGAAAGCAGTAAAGGCGCGCGCGCGGACCATGGTGCGCGTGTGGACCAAGGCGCGCGCGTAGACCAAGGCGCGCGCGTGGACCAAGGCGCGCGCGTCTTTGGACCAAGGCGTGGACCAAGTCGCGCGCGCTTTTTACTCCGTGTGCTTCCCTCCCCCCTCACCCAGCTCACGCCCTCCCCCTCCACCCCCTCCCCCTCTTCCCATCCCTTCTTCCTGTGCAACAGAATAATCCAGTCCCAGGAGTGCAGATATTTCTTTTCTCTGATCCACCCTAACCCACCCCAACCCACCCCACTCCACTCCACATCACGCATGCATGCACGCGCTCTCGTGCGCGCGCGTTTGCGCGCACACACACGCACATACATACACACAAACCCTGGTGCGCATGTTGTGCAATATGTCAGCTAGCTTTATGAGCACCACCCGTAAATCGTTCACCATGCCCACATGCTTACACACTGGGGTAACATGGTATTTTCATATGCTGCACTGCACTGCACATGCGTCACTCACACACACTCACATGGTGCGCATGTCCTGTCTGCCAGCTTTATCAGCACCACCACTCGAGGGTCATCACCCTGTGACCATGCCCAGGTGCCTCTACGTATGAGTCAATGGACTTCTCACATGCTTCAATTGAGTCACTCACTCACAGGCTTCATTTGTATCACATGTAAACACTCACATGGTGCGCATGTTGTGCAGCCTGTCCGCCAGCTTGATAAGAACCACTCGAGGGTCGTTCACCATGCCTAGCAGCATCATCCTCAGGCTGTCCACCTGGTCATGGCATGTGATTATAACGAGAGGCGGAGCGGGAGGGGAATGGCAAGAGGGGATAGAGGGAGGGTGGTGGATGGACGGGAAGAATATTGAGAAGGGACAGGGGAAAGGGGAGGAATGGGGGATGGATGAGGAATGGAGGGTGGGGGGAGGGTGGAAATGAGGGGATGGATGGAGAGCAGGTGAGAGGGCGAGGAAACGAGGAGGGGGGGCATGGAGATGCAACCATTGACCTCATTCTATCCACACGCCAATGATTCTATCCACACGCCAATGATTCTATCCACACGCCAATGATTCTATCCACACGCCAATGATTCTATCCACACGCCAATGATTCTATCCACACGCCAATGATTCTATCCACACGCCAATGATTCTATCCACACGCCAATGATTCTATCCACACGCCAATGATTCTATCCACACGCCAATGATTCTATCCACACGCCAATGATTCTATCCACACGCCAATGATTCTATCCACACGCCAATGATTCTATCCACACGCCAATGATTCTATCCACACGCCAATGATTCTATCCACACGCCAATGATTCTATCCACACGCCAATGATTCTATCCACACGCCAATGATTCTATCCACACGCCAATGATTCTATCCACACGCCAATGATTCTATCCACACGCCAATGATTCTATCCACACGCCAATGATTCTATCCACACGCCAATGATTCTATCCACACGCCAATGATTCTATCCACACGCCAATGATTCTATCCACACGCCAATGATTCTATCCACACGCCAATGATTCTATCCACACGCCAATGATTCTATCCACACGCCAATGATTCTATCCACACGCCAATGATTCTATCCACACGCCAATGATTCTATCCACACGCCAATGATTCTATCCACACGCCAATGATTCTATCCACACGCCAATGATTCTATCCACACGCCAATGATTCTATCCACACGCCAATGATTCTATCCACACGCCAATGATTCTATCCACACGCCAATGATTCTATCCACACGCCAATGATTCTATCCACACGCCAATGATTCTATCCACACGCCAATGATTCTATCCACACGCCAATGATTCTATCCACACGCCAATGATTCTATCCACACGCCAATGATTCTATCCACACGCCAATGATTCTATCCACACGCCAATGATTCTATCCACACGCCAATGATTCTATCCACACGCCAATGATTCTATCCACACGCCAATGATTCTATCCACACGCCAATGATTCTATCCACACGCCAATGATTCTATCCACACGCCAATGATTCTATCCACACGCCAATGATTCTATCCACACGCCAATGATTCTATCCACACGCCAATGATTCTATCCACACGCCAATGATTCTATCCACACGCCAATGATTCTATCCACACGCCAATGATTCTATCCACACGCCAATGATTCTATCCACACGCCAATGATTCTATCCACACGCCAATGATTCTATCCACACGCCAATGATTCTATCCACACGCCAATGATTCTATCCACACGCCAATGATTCTATCCACACGCCAATGATTCTATCCACACGCCAATGATTCTATCCACACGCCAATGATTCTATCCACACGCCAATGATTCTATCCACACGCCAATGATTCTATCCACACGCCAATGATTCTATCCACACGCCAATGATTCTATCCACACGCCAATGATTCTATCCACACGCCAATGATTCTATCCACACGCCAATGATTCTATCCACACGCCAATGATTCTATCCACACGCCAATGATTCTATCCACACGCCAATGATTCTATCCACACGCCAATGATTCTATCCACACGCCAATGATTCTATCCACACGCCAATCATTCTATCCACACGCCAATGATTCTATCCACACGCCAATCATTCTATCCACACGCCAATCATTCTATCCACACGCCAATCATTCTATCCACACGCCAATCATTCTATCCACACGCCAATCATTCTATCCACACGCCAATCATTCTATCCACACGCCAATCATTCTATCCACACGCCAATCATTCTATCCACACGCCAATCATTCTATCCACACGCCAATCATTCTATCCACACGCCAATCATTCTATCCACACGCCAATCATTCTATCCACACGCCAATCATTCTATCCACACGCCAATCATTCTATCCACACGCCAATCATTCTATCCACACGCCAATCATTCTATCCACACGCCAATCATTCTATCCACACGCCAATGATTCTATCCACACGCCAATGATTCTATCCACACGCCAATGATTCTATCCACACGCCAATGATTCTATCCACACGCCAATGATTCTATCCACACGCCAATGATTCTATCCACACGCCAATGATTCTATCCACACGCCAATGATTCTATCCACACGCCAATGATTCTATCCACACGCCAATGATTCTATCCACACGCCAATGATTCTATCCACACGCCAATGATTCTATCCACACGCCAATGATTCTATCCACACGCCAATGATTCTATCCACACGCCAATGATTCTATCCACACGCCAATGATTCTATCCACACGCCAATCATTCTATCCACACGCCAATGATTCTATCCACACGCCAATCATTCTATCCACACGCCAATCATTCTATCCACACGCCAATCATTCTATCCACACGCCAATCATTCTATCCACACGCCAATCATTCTATCCACACGCCAATCATTCTATCCACACGCCAATCATTCTATCCACACGCCAATCATTCTATCCACACGCCAATCATTCTATCCACACGCCAATCATTCTATCCACACGCCAATCATTCTATCCACACGCCAATCATTCTATCCACACGCCAATCATTCTATCCACACGCCAATCATTCTATCCACACGCCAATCATTCTATCCACACGCCAATCATTCTATCCACACGCCAATCATTCTATCCACACGCCAATCATTCTATCCACACGCCAATCATTCTATCCACACGCCAATCATTCTATCCACACGCCAATCATTCTATCCACACGCCAATCATTCTATCCACACGCCAATCATTCTATCCACACGCCAATCATTCTATCCACACGCCAATCATTCTATCCACACGCCAATCATTCTATCCACACGCCAATCATTCTATCCACACGCCAATCATTCTATCCACACGCCAATCATTCTATCCACACGCCAATGATTCTATCCACACGCCAATGATTCTATCCACACGCCAATGATTCTATCCACACGCCAATCATTCTATCCACACGCCAATGATTCTATCCACACGCCAATGATTCTATCCACACGCCAATGATTCTATCCACACGCCAATGATTCTATCCACACGCCAATGATTCTATCCACACGCCAATGATTCTATCCACACGCCAATGATTCTATCCACACGCCAATGATTCTATCCACACGCCAATGATTCTATCCACACGCCAATGATTCTATCCACACGCCAATGATTCTATCCACACGCCAATGATTCTATCCACACGCCAATGATTCTATCCACACGCCAATGATTCTATCCACACGCCAATGATTCTATCCACACGCCAATGATTCTATCCACACGCCAATGATTCTATCCACACGCCAATGATTCTATCCACACGCCAATGATTCTATCCACACGCCAATGATTCTATCCACACGCCAATGATTCTATCCACACGCCAATGATTCTATCCACACGCCAATGATTCTATCCACACGCCAATCATTCTATCCACACGCCAATGATTCTATCCACACGCCAATCATTCTATCCACACGCCAATCATTCTATCCACACGCCAATCATTCTATCCACACGCCAATCATTCTATCCACACGCCAATCATTCTATCCACACGCCAATCATTCTATCCACACGCCAATCATTCTATCCACACGCCAATCATTCTATCCACACGCCAATCATTCTATCCACACGCCAATCATTCTATCCACACGCCAATCATTCTATCCACACGCCAATCATTCTATCCACACGCCAATCATTCTATCCACACGCCAATCATTCTATCCACACGCCAATCATTCTATCCACACGCCAATCATTCTATCCACACGCCAATCATTCTATCCACACGCCAATCATTCTATCCACACGCCAATCATTCTATCCACACGCCAATCATTCTATCCACACGCCAATCATTCTATCCACACGCCAATCATTCTATCCACACGCCAATCATTCTATCCACACGCCAATCATTCTATCCACACGCCAATCATTCTATCCACACGCCAATCATTCTATCCACACGCCAATCATTCTATCCACACGCCAATCATTCTATCCACACGCCAATCTATCCACACGCCAATCATTCTATCCACACGCCAATGATTCTATCCACACGCCAATGATTCTATCCACACGCCAATGATTCTATCCACACGCCAATGATTCTATCCACACGCCAATGATTCTATCCACACGCCAATGATTCTATCCACACGCCAATGATTCTATCCACACGCCAATGATTCTATCCACACGCCAATGATTCTATCCACACGCCAATGATTCTATCCACACGCCAATGATTCTATCCACACGCCAATGATTCTATCCACACGCCAATGATTCTATCCACACGCCAATGATTCTATCCACACGCCAATGATTCTATCCACACGCCAATGATTCTATCCACACGCCAATGATTCTATCCACACGCCAATGATTCTATCCACACGCCAATGATTCTATCCACACGCCAATGATTCTATCCACACGCCAATGATTCTATCCACACGCCAATGATTCTATCCACACGCCAATGATTCTATCCACACGCCAATGATTCTATCCACACGCCAATGATTCTATCCACACGCCAATGATTCTATCCACACGCCAATGATTCTATCCACACGCCAATCATTCTATCCACACGCCAATGATTCTATCCACACGCCAATGATTCTATCCACACGCCAATGATTCTATCCACACGCCAATCATTCTATCCACACGCCAATCATTCTATCCACACGCCAATGATTCT